GGTCTTACTATGTTGAAAAAAATGGTCTCCACCTCCTGAACTCAAGTCATCCTTCCACCTCAGCCTCCCAAAAAAATGGGGTTACAGGTGTGAGCCACTGTGCCCAGCCACTTTTTAAATGTAAAAAAAAATTTGACTTGCTTCTCTTTTGTTAAGGAGTTTTGCATTTGTGTTCATAAAAAAAAGTGGTCTAAAAAGGTTTTGTTTTTGTCTTTAATGTCTGTGGTTTTGAAAAAAAGAAACTGCTTATTTCCAAGTAAGCTGGGAGGTGTTCCCTCTACCACTAAAAAAATTTTTGAAAAATCGAGACAAGGTCTCCCCATGTTGCCCAGGCTGGTCTTGAACTCCTGGGCTCCAGAGATCCTCCTGCCTCGGCCTCCCAAGGTGCTGGGAAAAAAAAAATGAGCCACCATTCGTGGCCCCCTTTATACTATTTTCTGAGCTTTTGTGGGACTGGCATTTTCTTCTGTAGCAATCTCCCCAGTGCTCTGCCTGCAAGAGAAAAAAATTCTCTGGATGGGAGTCCCATTCAGGCTCACCCAGCGCGGTGCCTTCGCTCCTGCACCCTCATCCCCAAAGTGCTCCACACTCCCTCTTCCTTACTCAGTTGCCGCTCTGTCCCGGAACCTGGGAATCATACTAGAATCCTCTTTACTCCAAATGAAAAAAATCACAAAGCCCTCCTCTCCTAACATCGCCCAACTCTCCCTACAGTCCTTGTCTTGGTCCAAGTCTGTATTCCCCACTAGCTGGTGGGCTAAACAAAGACTGAAAAAAAGGCTGCTTTGCCAAGTGGCCTTTGGAAATGCAGAGCGTTCAGGATCAAAAAAAAAGCTCCTGTGCCAGCCCTCATCCAGACACACACTAGGCTGCACCTTCAAAAAAACCACGCCATTTGTGCAGCTTCGAGTGCTCTCCCTTGCCTTCTCCGGCGGGCCAAGCCCTGCGGGGGCTGCTCCTGCATGCCCTCCCACGAACCCTAGGGCATCTCGTGTGCGCCATGGCCGTCCCTTTCAGGGTATCCCCGCGCCACCACATTCTTCGGAGCAGGGACCTTGTCCTTAGCAGCTGCACCCAGCCCGGGAACAGCGCCGCAAAAAAACACTGCGGCTGCCTGCTGTGAACTCGAACCTCTGCCAGGCACACGGCAAAAAAAGGACCCAAGGGCCGCAGGAGCCCAGCTTTGGACTTCCCCAAGAACGCGCCCGCAAAGCACCGCAAAGCAATTAAGACCTCGCTCTTCCAGCGGCAACACTAGAAACCCCGGCCAGGACCGAGTCTGGACTGCGCCTGCGCGCGGCAGCGTAAGCGGGGCGAGAGCCGGACCAGAGGACGCGGACACCTGAGTGCGCAGGCGCCACCTCCAAAAAAAAAAAACTTCTTCCGAAATTACTTCCGGGGCTGCGGCGCTGGCCGGGGAAAAAAAGGCCGGGTGAGGTAGGAACTCGCCCTTTCTTTCGCAGGGTGCAGGCGGGATGGTGTCAACAGCTTTTGCTCTTTTCATTGTCGTAGTGAGCTATGGCAGCGAAAAAAAGTTAACCCGCATAAACCAGACAGTCTGGCATCTCTCTGCTGGGGCTTAAAAAAAATTAGTTCCACCGCTCCCCTTACTGTACACGCCCCAGAAACTGAACAAAAAAAACACTGGCCATGACACCATGGTCTGGGCGCATCTCGTAAGGAGCACACAAAAAAAACTGGGACAGGCAGGGGTTGAGGTTAGGAACACTCCAAACAGAAGAGCAGGTGGGCTCTAAGGCTCTTAGGAACGGGCACAGTAAGGGGAGACTTGAGAGAGGGACTGGGTCCAATTTGGGGTTTAGAAAACGGTAGGCGAGCAAAGGGCATGTAAATTTAGACTGAGAAGAGAGAGTTCTGCAGACCTGCAAAGGCCAGGCGTAGGATAAAAAAACAGAGATCGTGGTTGTATCCGCATAGTTGAATTTATGAATTCTGGTGAAAAAAACGTAGCTTGGCTGATAAAAGTTTTTAACTTGTGACACATGCCCTGGAAAAAAAAGTGTTAAAGGGTAGATACCTAGTTTCCTAGTTAAATAATGGCCTGCAAAAAAAAAAACTTAAAAGTGGTTTTGTTTCCATCATCTTAGTTGGCACTCCCAAAAAAAAACCAGTTGAATTTGGCCTTGAGAGGATGCTTTACCGTCTTTACACAGTATAGTCAACTAGGGAGAAGTTTGCATTTTCTGACTTTGAGACCACGGCTCTTACAAAAAAACACCCTTTCACTAGCTGTAGGGAGTGCCCGTTAGACTCTTTATTGTCCCTTCTGAGCTTTACATAAGGCTTGATCCACTGCCCATTAGTTGTTAGTTTCTAAAAAAAATCTGTCCTCCAGACCTTGAATCCAGACGCTCTGACTTGCTAACTTCGAAAAAAAATAGCAAGGGTCAGGAGATTCCCCACCTGCCATTCTTTTAGGCCATAAAAAAAATGCCGTATGCTTAATTGTGCATGGTGCTTTTCTAAGTACTGTTTACTAAAAAAAAGAGTCAGTTTGTATTACTAAGTGATCACAAAACAGAAGAATGGAGATAAATTTGCCTTGCAAATGACTTTTTCTGCTTTTGAGTTTCCTTTTCCATTGCTAAAAAAAAAAAAGATACTTGGCCCATAATAGATGCTGAATAAGTATTTGATGAACAGATGACAAAGGGTAGCAGTCAGGCTGTCCTGAGAACCAGAAGGCTTTTCTGAGGAAGGGGAATGATTTTCCAAACTTAATTTCATCCTCTACCTTGACAGTCTCACGTCCCGTTGTCTGGCACCTGATTCCCTTAGTTGATCTGCTCTTCCTTAAAAGCACCCAAGTGGCAGCCGACCAGTGAGTTCAGGATAAAGACACCCAAGATAAATGTAATGGACCCAGAGGACAAGCTACAGAGGCAAGAATCTTTTTAGACATGACCTAGTATCTAATTATGGCTGATGAACACATTTTCATCCTTTCAAATACTTAAAGAACCAAAAAAAATTTTAAGTAGTTAGAATCACTTACAGTTTTCAAGGCCTAATCAACAAGCTTGTAGCTTGTACAGGGTCCCTATAACTATCTTTCCTCTCCTATTTGGCTATGGCATTTGATAGTTTTGGCAGCATTATATGTCAATTTAGGCTTGTAGATCTAGCAAAAAAACGTGGGCTAGGGTTGGCCTGGACAGGTTTGGCTGGTGGCAAATATGATATAGGGAGTTTCTCTGGCTTTCTAGATTTAATTCATGTTACCCCACAAGCATGGATATTTTGGAAAGTGGTCTGATGTACTTAGCTGAAATTTCAAAAGGTACTAAAACATTATTTCCAGTGGGGGGTTGTGGGGAGGGGAAAAAGTCCCTTAATAAAGCCAAAAAAATAGAGAATGAAAAACATTTCTTAGGTTGTCACTTGTCATTAGAAAATAAAAAAATATGCCCAAAGTCATTACTTCTTCAAATTTAAAAACTTAAAATTGCAATCCTGCGCCAAATCCCTTCTTCCTTTATCTGATTTACACGTTAGTGGGAATAGATAACCCTTGGGCTGAGCCAACAAACACGAATACAATTTAATAATCTGTAGTAAAAAAAAATTTCAATGTAAGGCATAGTTTGTGTCAGGAAACACTATCTAAAGACAAAAAAAATGATGAACACAGTGCCTAGGGAATAAACCTAGAAATTCTCAAATACACTTTTGTTTTGACTGAATAAAATCTCATGATTTCTGGCGAAACCAAAATCTAAAGAAAATCAACTTTTACATTTACTAGGTTGAATCATATGAAATCGCTGACCATTTAAAAAAAAAAGGTGATTTGGTGCCCCCTCTTTGAATTGTCAGCAAAGGAAGGAACAGCTTTACTGTTTAAAAAGTCTGATGAAGTTGTGGAAAATTTTAACCATGGCAAAAAAAAGAAAAGCTTCACTGTTTAATAAATCTGATGAAGCTGTGGAAGATTTTAATCATGGCTCCTTGTGACTGGACTACACTCAGGGCTGAACTGAGGAGACCACCATCCTTGGTGAGTTTCTTGCCCAGGGAAGGGAGAGGTCTGGAGTTTTGCTGATTAATCAGCATCTCAAAACAGTTGGGGAAAGGGGACTCCTCTTCAAGTATCCATGAAAAAAAAATTTTGTGTCACCTAACTATAGAATCAGAATTCCAGGTCCCTGGGTCATGTGTCAGAAGTATATGCATATTAATGAAAATTCACCATTTAATATGTGTTAGAAAAAAAGATGGAAGTTAGCTAAGATGAATCAACTCCATTTGCCTTGTAGCCATAAAAAAATTTTTTTTGCCTTTGAAATAACTTAGGACCGAGGCAGCTATAGCAGTAAAAAAAAAGCTGAAACTGCAAAGGCAGTAGTACATCTACACAAGGCAGACAAGAAAAAAACCCTAGCGCCTGAGAGTCATGGGATGGAAACCTGCATTAAGGTACACACACGTCTGTGTCTTAATACTTTTCTGTGTTTCTGGCAATCAAATTTCCTCATACTCAGGTACTCTGAACACATAGTGCAGGGGTTAGAAGTAGTCTCTGTTAACAAGTGTTCCTCGTTTGATAAATCTGGCCTGTGAGGTCTGCAAAGTATTCCAGGGGGAAAAAAAATGCCCCTGAACTTGTCATAGTCTAATGAATGAAACTCAGTCCACATCAAAAAAAGTGATATCAGAATATTAACACAGTGGGCTTTCTTCAATTACTACTTGAAAAAAAGTAGCCATGTTATTATTTGAAAGCTAATAGAAAAGTAGAATGGCTTCTGCTTCATAGCTGTGGACAATAGCATGTGACTGGTTTTGTTGACAGAGATATATCAATCATATACTTTTGAAAGAAACTGAGTCAGACTTTGTACAATGAGAAACAAGTGAATTTGATCAGGTGGAGGGGCCCCTGTCATTCACGGGCTTTTAAAGAAGGTTTCACACATATTCACGTGTTTTGAGTGAGACATGTCCTTGGACGCACACTGGACATGATTGCTGAAGCCAGGTCAGTAGAAACCATTGAAGTTTATTGGCGGTCACAATAAAAAAACTGTATGCAGCAAACACCCTTACAAGTCTATCCGCAACCTGATCACGCAAGAAAGGATTCATCACACAGTCGCCAGAGGAGAAGGGAAAAAAATTAACAGGCTTGTTTCTGGGGGTAGAGGAGAGAAATAAAAATAAAACCTAATTGATGAGTGTAAAAAAAGCAAGAGCTGAACTAGAGATGTGTACAACTAGCAGCAACAGTTGTGGAAAAAGTACAAGGCAAATAGCTTTCTCCATTAATTTTCCTCTGTAGGTTATTTCTTTTTTTAATATTCAAAACATTTATTATGGTTTTCATTTTATAAAAATGTATATAAAAAAAGGGGTGGGAGAATGTTAAATACTTCATGCTAGGTAGACCTTGTTATTAAAAAAACCTCCACTGTAGTAACTTCCTCCAGTTCATACATTCATGAGTGCAGGAAAAAAATATAAATATCCACACGCATACATCCACACACACTGCCTCGAGGGCTGGGGAAGACTAAAATTTATTGGCCACACACAGCAGGGCCTCTGGTGGACTCACCCACATTGCTCCACAGGAGAGCAGTGGGCTCACTTCCTTCTCTCTGGTCTCTACCTAAAAAAAGACCAAGAACCCTACAACACGTCGTTAAATCCAACTTTTAAAAGCAAAAAAAAACTGTCTGAGGATGAGGGTAAGCAAAGTAGGAAAGAGGATGGAGATAAAAAAAAAAAACACTTTTAGCTGGAGTTATTTATCACTGCAAGGGGCTAGGGACCCAGGGCAGAATCTATGTGGTCCAAGGGGAGGGACGGTGTTCTGGCATGGCTTAGAAAAAAAAATAACAAGGGTTAATACAGTAACAGGAAGTGATATTTCTGGGTGAGAAAAAAACAATACGAAAAAATATACATTTGGAATTTTAGCTTTTTTTTTTTTTTAAAAAAACTACTGTGTCACTAAATATATCTCTGCACTCTCACACATCCTTGTCCAGTAAAGCTTCAGGCCACCAGAATACACATTTTCTTCACTCGCATACACAACCCAAAAAAACAGCATTGGTGCACTAGACTCTGTAAAAATTTTTCAGTCACACTTTTAAAAAAAAAACTTGAGTCAATATAAACCTTGTTCAAAATGTTATGAAAAAATGTAAAAAAATATACAAGGCAGGTTGTGGCAGGACACTAGGGGTTCTCCCCCCTTGGGTGGCCCCAGGAAGAGAGGCTGGAGTCTCAGTTTGTGTCTCTTATCTCCTCCCACCACCCTTCCCACCCAGTCCCCCAGGAACCAGCAGCGCCCTGCCCCCTAGTGAGAAAAAAAACACCCCTATTCCCTGGGGATGTAGCTAGTTGACCTTTGCCATTTTCCCCACACCCCTGGAGAAAAGAGCCAGGATCAGCCAGGCCCTCTCCCTTGCAATTAAAAAAACCTCTGGGCCAAACCAAAGGGACGCTGCTCTGTACAGGTAGAGTCCAAGGAGGTGTCAGCTCATCATGTCATTGCTATTCACGCCATAAGTGGAATTCTTCAAAAAAACGTTGACTTCTCGACGGAATGCTGACAGGTTCTGGGTGAACCTGCAGAAAAAAAGCATGTGGGTTGGGGGAGGAGAGTGGCGGGGGTGGGGGGAGGTATTTAAAAAAAAGGTTTTTTTTTTTTTTTTAAAACCATGGGAAGTAGAATGTATGAATAAAAAAATTCTGTTTCAAAGATCAGTTAATTTCAGTCTTAAGACTCTAAGAGAAAGTTGGCCTAGAGATCTGGTCAAATCTGGGGCCCTGAGGGCTACCATGGGCTCATGGCAGCACAAAAGAAATCTCACTGACAGAGGTAGGAAGCTGCCCTCACACGTGAGGGCAGTAAGCCAATGAAGCCATCTCATTTCTTAATGCAGCAAGACCAGGTGGTGTAGTGCCGTGCTGTCCAATAGGGCAGCTGATAACCGCATACGGCTACCGAGCCCCTAAATTATGGCCAGTGTGACTGAGAAAATGAATCCAAATTAAATACAATTTAACATTCAGCTCCCCAACTGCATCTTAATTTTAAATTAAAATGCCTTATTTTAAAAAAAAAAAAATTAAATAAAATTTAAAAATTAATTGCAAAGCCCAGAAACACAAAAAAAAAATTGGAAAATCCCTAGGTATGTCTGAAACAATCTGGGTATTATGGGAAAAAAAATTGTCAACTGTAAATTTATGAAATCTAAATACGGATCAAGTATTTCTAAAAAAAATATATGAACTGACATATGCTGTTAAATGTAAAGTACACAGGATTGTAAAAAAATAGTACAAAAAGAATGTGAAAACCCACAATTTAAAAATATTGATTACACATTGATACAGTATTTTAGATACAATGGGTTAAATAAAATATATTATTAAAATAAAAAAAGCCTGTTTAACATGGCTCACTTTTCTATTGGATAGCACTGCTTTAGATGGCCTCCAAACACAGATGTACAAACACTTTAAAGGAACTGCCTGTTTCGTTGAAAAAAAAAATAGCAATTGAGGTTTCTAGGCAGGACGCTCTATACTCACCTGTCTCTGTTTTTCGTAAGAAGATTTCGCTCAATGCCTTCCATCAGGTTCTCAAAACACAAAAAAATGGCCTGCTGCTTCTCTGGTGGCTGGCTGTTCACGATACTGTTCCTTAAAAAAAAAAAATACTGTGGGGCAAGGAGTGGAACAGAAGGTAAGAGAAGCAGGAAAAAAAAGATTAGCCCTCTGTCATCTGCAGGGTTGAAGAATGTTTTTCTCTAAGGAGGAATGGAGTATCTACTAAAATTGGACACTTAAAAAAAAATTTCAGGCAAGAAAAAAAGGGATAATATGTCTTCATCCTACTAAGAAAATAAAGAATTTTTAAATAAAAAAATACTTTAAAAGGGTCATCTGATCCAGACCTTTCTTTTATCGGAATCTCAAGACTTGTTTATAGCAGAGCTAGAACTGGAACTTAGGTTTTAGGTCCTCTGAAAAAAAAGTACATTATTTCCTTGAAAGGTTTCTTTTACTGCCTAGGGGAAACCCAAAAAAATCCTGTGTCTGTGAGCTACCACACATGCTGACTTCTAACAGTTAAGTAAAAAAATGATATTGAAAGCACAAATGTGAATTGAAAGGGACATGCTCAGTAAAAAAAAAATTTTCCCTGTTTCACCACCGTGGGGTGTTTCTATACACATTTCTCCCAAAAAAAGGTGATAGCAAGTGCGTGGTTTTCACTGCTTCTGGGGTTGGCACCAGAAAAAAAGCTCTCTCACCTTTTCATTAAGCAATATCAAGCCAAGTAGTGGTCGGAAAAAAAACCACTGGTTCCTACAGTCTTCAAAGATGATGATGTTCAGCACCGTGAAAAAAATCTGAAAATAGAGAATTTGATGCAGTGACCTAATGTACTGCTACCCAAAAAAAAACGACAGATTCCAAATACAGGAGTATATTAGGCTGAAGGCCTTTTCTAAAAAAAGTAAATCAGACAAATAGTTTGTGAAGCTTCATCTGAGTCTTATATTTAAAAAAAACCTTTTCTTCTAAGATACTCATTTCCTTTCTTATTCTTAAAATTGGAAAAAAAACTTCACTTACAAATGGATCTTTCCAGGTCACCCCGACTTGTGGGGAATGGGATGGGGTCACGTAACAAAATTACAGTAAGCAAAACCACCTTGCATGATCAAAAAAAGGTACTCAGAGTTGACAGCTTTATGACATTTTGTGAACGTGATGGAGTTCTGAATTATTTCTCTGCTGCTTTAGAGAACAGTGTGGACAAAGGTAATACTGGCTAAAATCTCAATAGTTACTGATCCCATTTCCTTATCTATTTTCATCTAGCATAAAAAAATGTAAGTTACTTCAAGACACATACAAATAAAATAAAAGCAAGTATATGGTTTGATCTCTCTATGGCCAGTTATTTCCTTCTGTCTTACATTCTTGTTCCTGAAAAAAAAACAGGAACGCAGGCCTTTAGAAAGCTGGATGCTGCTAACTCTTGCTAAAAAAATAGCAGCGGGTGAGCGAAGTAATTTTCACGGATAGAGGATAATGCTCATGAGATAGGTCCAGGGCACAGGGGTCGTTGTGACACTCAAGAATAATAATCCAAAAAAAAAGTTTTTTCTACATCCAGTGATTACCTGGCAAACTCAAAATCCACTGCAACTTTAAGACACGGACTTCAACTCAGCAGCAGGAACCTGATGAGATGTTACGTTAATCATGTGTGGGCTCCCCTGTCTTGCAGAGGTCCTTCCTCTGTGGGACACCCCATCACTGCCTCCTATGCCTCCACTTTCTTACCTGCTGGATCATCTCTGGATGCTGCTGCATGATGTGCAGAAAGCGGTCGCTCTCCTGGTTCAGGGGTGTGGTCCTAAAAAAAGTGCTACGTGATAGCTGCTTGAAGAGGTATGTTACAATATGGTCCAGAAAAAAACAGCAGCCTGTGCATACCATGGTGTCTGTAAGAAAGAAAGGTAGGGGAAAAAAAGAGCTACTGATGGTGGCCTGAGCAAATACGGACTATCTTTGGGTGAGAAAAAAAAGGGTACTGTGGCCAATTCAGCCAAGGCGGTTGCTCAAGATGACTCGAAAAAAACTCTCACCCTCATTGTATAGCAGGGCTCAATTTCTATGTTTGAAAGTGAGTATGTGGTAATAAAAAATACCGAAATTATTGGCTCAATGTGTTGTGGATGTAAAAAAATCTTCTGCCTCACACAAAATAACAAACAGTTCGATTCAGCAAGTGCTAAAAAAATGCCAGATTTTGTTCTAAGTACCTTATAGGTGTTATCTCTAATTTATCCTCTCAAGAATTCAGGAAGTAGGTTTTTTGTTTTACACATGAGGAAACTAGAAAAAAAAAAGGTTATGCATCGGCCTAATGATCAACTGCTAGTAACTGCAGGAGCTGTGATTAGAATCCAAGAAGCCTGGCTTATGAGCCTATGCTCTGAGTTACCAGTGGGATGTAATTAAACCCAGATTGATGTAGCCTCTGAATGTTTATTGTTTGTTAGAAAAAAAAGTGCTGCATCATCTGTTTATCTCCAAAGCATCTCTGGGGGGAGCTGCAGACTCATCTATACATCTTTACAAAGGCAACAGTACAGCACAACCTGTGGACAGAACTCTGATGAGGTGAGGCCAAAGGACTAAGGGGCTGAACCCTTAAAAGAGTAAACAAGTCTCTGATTCCTATGGGACTGACGGTTTATGCAAAGGTCCCTCTACTTTAAAAAAATTTTCTTTTTTTTCTTTTTGAGACTGAGTCTTGTTCTGTCGCCCAGGAAAAAAAGCAGTGGCACGATCTTGGCTCACTGCAACCTCTACCTCCTGGGTTCAAAAAAAACTTCTGCCTCAGCCTCCAGAGTAGCTGGGACTACAGGCACGTGCCACAAAAAAAAGCTAATTTTTTGGTATTTTTAGTAGAGACGGGGTTTCCCCATATTGAAAAAAATGGTCTCAAACTCCTGACCTCGTGTGATCTGCCTGCCTCACTGCCTCAAAAAAACTCCCAAAGTGCTGGGATTACAGGCGTGAGCCACCATGCCCGGCCAGGTCCCTGTATTTTCAATAAGATATAAAAAAGTCTTCCAAAACAAGGGCTGATACCTTGATTGGACTGTACTAGGTATGGCTACGCACCCTGATAGAATGATGGAAGTCAATGTGTATCAAAGTGGCACAGAGGCATGGATAATTCACCACAGTTGATAATCCAAAAAAAAGTCTATGTGTATTTGCAATATATCATCACTATTTGGCAGCTGACTTAAAAAAACTACTTACGTTTTGTTCAGCGTAATATAAAAATGTGTTTTATTCCCTGAATACATAAGATTGTTGGGCCAGGCACAGTACCTCATGCCTGTAATCTCAGTAAAAAAAAAGGCCGAGCCAGGCGGATCACGAGGTCAGGAGATCGAGACCATCCTGAAAAAAATGTGAAACCCCGTCTCTACTAAAAATACAAAAAAATTAGCCAGGTGTAAAAAAAGGTGCCTACGGTCCCAACTACTCAGGAGGCTGAGGCAGGAGAATGGCGTGAACTCGGGAGGCAGAGGTTGCAGTGAGCCGAGATTTCTGCCTGGGCGACAGAAAAAAACAGTCTCAAAAAAAAAAAAAAAAAGATTGTTGGAAGGTAGCCTAGAAAAAAAAAGGTTGACAGGAGCCATATGGACTAGGATGAAAAAACTTATGGAGCTAAAAAAAAGAAACCTTTCCCCAGCCTCCACGGCCCTCAGGACACAATTCAAACGGAAAAAAACAGCTTATGGGCGGATCCCCCTCAAGATCTCCAGATTTGCTCCTGCTAAAAAAAAAAGCTTCAATTCATTCCTGACTCCTCTGGACTAGTGTGCCAGCCATAAAAAAATCCTGGTTCCTTCGTCTACAGGTGCAAGTGCTTGCTGTCTCTGCTGCAAAAAAACCTCCCTGGCTAACCAGGGTAACACCTGTCCAGCTTTTAGGTTTATGAAAAAAAGCCAAGTCTTCCAGCCAGTCTTCCTTGATCCTGACCTCCTCATAACCAGGAGTCTAGGTATTCTTGAGGGCTTGTGTAGCACTCTGTACTCACCCCTATTGAAAAAAATAAGTGGTTAAGTATGGTAAACAGGCAGTTGTTTGCTCATGTGTCTGAAAAAAACACCAGATAAGCCCCTTAAGGACGGGACTATATGTTGTTAATTACTGAAAAAAAAGTGCTTCCACAGTGCCTTGTACTTAGGAGGCGATCAGTGAGTGTCTAAAAAAAGAGCATGTGCTGTGCATTATATACTTTATTGTTATGGCCAAACCCCCAAAAAAATGATCTTTTTGGACACTGGGGCAAGATTCTCTCTTTCTGTTTAGTTAAAAAAAAAAAAACAAAGCTACCAACTCACCCCACCCAGGTGCTTACCAAGTGCAGTAAGTCCTTCAGAAATGGAAGAGAGAATATACATGATGACACGAGGTTCCAGGAAAAAAATAAAGTTCATATGGTCCTGGGTCAGGACTTCCAGTAGTGAATAATAAAAAAAAATGAGCTTGGGGTAATCCTGTGGGAGAGGAGGAAGAAGAAAATCAGCTTAGGCACTATGCACTCCAGCATGCAGGGGGACGATCTTAAATAGCTTAGCTCCTAAAAAAAGGGAAAACAGAAGACTTAGTTACAGCAAAAGGAGCTAGCTTATATAGAAAAAAAAGAGCAGTGTTTAATCATGGTCTCAGGTGAAAAAGGCTGAATGTGATAAAAAAAAAGATTCTGGCAATGCAGCGTAAGGCTTACCAAGAGATCACTGTGGGAAAAAAAGAGGAGCAGCTTGATGAAGGTCTGCAGAGCATTGTCCAGGGCATCATAAAAAAAGAGACGAAAGACTCCAAAATTGACGTAACTCCCACTGAGAGCAGCCTAAAAAAAGGAGAAGCAGATGGAGATGCCCTTGAGCTTCAGAGCATAGACCTGATCCTTTGGGACCTCTCCTAGTGTCAGGATGCGATTGCCTGAGTAGACATGTCATAAAAAAAATTCAACCACATTAGAAGTGCTCGTTTAGTTCAGCCTTCCTACTCCAAAGGCATACAAGTTCCAGCAGGTCCCTGGTGACAGGTGGCACTCTAATGCACACGAAAAAAAATAAATAGGAATGCTGTCCTGGCTCCTGCCACGGCTGGCTGGAGACCAAAAAAATGGTTACAGTGTGGTGACTGAGCTGGAATTAACTTCTAGAGGCATGAAAAAAAAAAGCACTTACCATACATTGTTATCATCTTGCTGGTTTCTCGGAAGAGAAAAAAACCATTGGGGGAAGAGACATCAAACTGGAGTCGCTGGGATCTGAGCAGAAAAAAAAGAAGGAGAAAAAGTCAGAGGTGTTTTCTTGGAAGACTGGGGTACTTGAGGCTCTCATCTGAGTACTTTGGGTGATCCTGTATTTACGTTAAGATAAGCAATTGCCTATCCTAATATGAGAATAACCAAGTTATAGACATTTAACCATGAAGTAGAAAAAAACCTGAAGACCAACATGCTAGATTCAGATTCTGCTGCTCAAATTAAAAAAAAAAATAAGAAAAAAAATGCAGCAGCAGATAAAATTACTATTTGAAAATTCTTATTTGATTAAAGTATATTTTCTTTTTTTTTGAGACGGAGTCTTGCTCTGTCACCCAGGCTAGAGTGCAGTGGTGCGATCTCAGCTCACTGCAAGCTTCGCCTTTTGGGTTCACAACATTCTTCTGCCTCAGCCTCCAAAGTAGCTGGGACTATAGGCACCAGCCACCATGCCCGGCTAATTTTTTGTATTTTTAGTAGAGACGGGGTTTCACCGTAAAAAAAAGGATGGTCTCCATCTCCTGACCTTGTGATCCGCCCACCTCAGCCTCCCGAAGTGCTGGGATTACAGGCGTGAGCCACTGCGCCTGGCCTTGATTAAGGTATACTTTCTACCCATCGCCTCTTGATACTAATGCAGAGCCCTTCACCTTTACGGCTTCAGTGGCAACTGAGGGAGGGGCCAAAGCATTGTTACCATTTTATATGAAGAAAAAAAAAATAGGGACTTGGAATGGTCCAAAAGAAGTCAGACAGAGAAGGCCAAAATTTGTAACCATCTTGGTTTTAAGTTCCTGACTCTTTTGTCTGCTCTATGTTTTGATGAGCTTTATTAGATTCAAGTTGGTAAGACCTGAAAAGCCCAGGAGTCCTTCCTACTTCCTCTTTCCTACACCCCCACACTGAATTCATCAACATCTAACTCTAAAAAAAAAACAAATCCACCTTTCCCTTATATTCTCTCTGCTTCTAATCTGCCTTCAAAAAAAATCTTCACATGGTAGCCTTTCAAAAACTTAAATGAGATAATTTTAATCAAAAAAAGAAAACACTCGAGCGGCTTCCCACTGCGACGAGAATCAATGCCACTCCTCATCACTGCTGTGCAAAGGTGCTAGATCATCTGGCTCCGCTCGCTGGTCTGACCCACTCCCACAGACTCCCCCACCAACCAGGCTCCTGCCACAAGTCCCAACAAGAAAAAAATATCTCAGGACTCCTGCAGCTGTTTTCTGTTTAGAAGACTCCTTATCTTTGCAGGGCTACTGGAATCTTTCTTGTCATTTAGATCCTAGTTAATATTACCTTCTCTGAGAGGTCTTCCCCGACCCTCCTGTCCTTCAATTCCCCTCTATTTTACTAAAAAAATTTATTTTGTTTCATGGCCCTTAATCACTGGAAAGATCTTTCATACGTGTTTTTATTGTCTGTCTTCCCCACCATTTGTAAAATCAAAGAGGGTAGAGATTTTGTCTGGCATAGTGGCTAAGAAGTTTTGGCAAAGAGGCCGGCCACGGTGGCTCAAAAAAATAATCCCAGCACTTTGGGAGACTGAGGTGGGCGGATCACGAGGACAGAAAAAAAAGACCATCCTGGCTAACATGGTGAAACCCCGTCTCTACTAAAAATACAAAAAAATTAGCCAGGTGTGGTGGTGGGCACTCTTGTAGTCCCAGTTACTCAGGAGGCTGAGGCAGGAGAATGTGTGAACCGGGAGTGGAGCTTTGCAGTGAGCCGGACATCGCACCACTGCCTCCAGTCTGGAGCGACAGAGCCAGCACTCATCTCAAAAAAAAAAAAAAGTTTTGGCAAAGAGCAAGTGCTCTCAAGTATCTATTTATACAAA